CTGTAGCTCTGAGGGCGAAAGAGTGCTCCCAAGTGAGCAGGGTTGTCAAGGAAACCTAACAAAGGTTAGGAACTCAGCTCTGGGGAGGGCTGCAGCAGGCAGTAGGCTAAAGGGGGGCGGCAGACCTTAGAGAGTGGGGTCTCTGCCTCCAGGAAGTCACTCATGACAAGTGTTCCCAGTTACCTGGTGAGGAGAAAATGAGATGTGGGGACCAGCAGTTAGCATAACGGCTATGTTGCTGGACTCCCATGTAGTCGATCGCAGTTCACATCCTGGACCCGGTGGCTTAAAACTCAACGCCGGGCACGTGTGCGTGTGTGCCCAAGATCCCGGGAGGAGAAGGGATTGCGCCATGGCCATCCCCCCTGGGGGGTGATTTCTTGCTTTCTGTCTCTCTGTCACTCTCTGTCTGGCGAGCACAGGCGCCCTATAGTAAAAACCTCTCAAAAAAAAAAAAAGAAAAAAGAGATGTGGCCACCCTAAACTTCTCTTTTGTGAATTTGTGGGCCCTGGAGGATGTGGTCGCATGCCCAGCTTCCTGAGGAGCTGGCTGGAACTGGAGGATCCCATGCAGAGCTGGTTTCCAGGTTCTTCCTCCATCCACCTAAGGGGCACGGGAGCCTTGCCCGCAGGAGGGAGCGGCCTGGTGGTGTATCCCGTATGTCTGGGAAGGCCTAGGCAGCCCTTGTCCATCAGCTGCCCAGGAAGGGACCTAGTCCCCCCTCCTTCATACCAAAATACTTATTCCACTTTTGCACCATTCCGAAATCTAGCACTGAGCCTACGAATCTCTGTGGGCTGAGACTGTAGGAGACAGGAAAAAAAACAGGGTCTGCATCATCTGCTTGTTGAAACCTAGGAACTTATTCTGGAGAATTTGGCAGGGAATGAACCTGCTACTTAGGTATATTGGGAGAAATTAAGTAAGAGTCATCTTTTTGAAAGTGTATTCACTTACCTTCTCCACAAGATGGGGCGGAGGACAGGGTCCTTGTGTTGCAGTCCACCCACAGTCCCAGCCAGTTGCTGTCACCACACACACACACACCCAGCATGCACTGGGAGGTTGCAGCACACAAACCCACAACCTATCCCCATGATTCTAGTTGTGTTACCCCTGTTACCACTTTAAAAAGGGGGAGCGAGAGTCCAGATAGTAACACAGTGAGTGCTTTATAAAACACAGTGCTCTACCCGCAGCCCATATGGGAAGGTTTCTAGTTTGAGTCCACACTGGGCACATGCTTGCCCATGATCTGGGGCTGGCTGTAGACCATGGCATCAAGACCCATTTGAGAGTATGCTAACTCTCTCTTGCTCATGGAAGAAATGGATGATTGAGCTTTAAAAATGTGCCTAAGTAGGGGCCAGCAAGTGGCATGATAGTTAAGGTGCTAGACTCCCACATGGCTGACTGCTGTTTGATTCCCAGACCTGGTGGCTTGAAAATCACCTCGCATATGTGTGTGTGTGCGTGTGCCTAAAATCCCAAAAGGAGAATGGAGGAAAAGGGATTGCGGTGTGGCCATCCCTTCTGGGGGGTGTGATTTCTCACTTTCCCTCTGTCTCTCTCCAGCAAGCACATGCGGGTGCATGCTTTTGCTATGGCAAAAGTCTAAAGGATAAATAAATAAAAAGAAGAAATTGTGTACAGGCACATATATTTGCATGTATGATCTATAAGACCGTAACAACAACTGCTGGGGGACAGTGCTCTTGTTTCCAAGTGCTCATTTAGCTTACAGATGCAGGGCTTCATATTCACTTTGGAGAGGAAAGAGGCACACTTACTTCCAGTGCTCGTGGAAGCAGCACCCTGTCTGAATGTGGAAGACGAGAAGTAGAGCACCTTCCACAGAGGCTCTGGACTGGTCTGCGACTGTTGGCTCTTTCTACCTGGTTAGTCCTCTTGGTCATTTAGAGAGCATGACCTGAAAGCCAAGTCTCATGGGGAAAAGTGGGGAGCAGAGCCGAGTGCAGACCCCTACCTACTTAATGGGAGTCTGTGGGGCAGTTTTCTCTGGCACATTCTCTTTGGGGGAAAGAAGGGCAGGGAGCAGCCAGCAGATGATGGCAAGCTGCCGAACATCACCAACCACCTGGGAGGTGAGGGGCTGCCGGCAAGGCTGGCTTCTTTCCAGAACCAGAGAGCTGTGTCTGTGGACAGGGCTCAGTTTTTGACTTTGCTGTCATTTGCAGACCTGTGAAATGGGACAACCGCTGCTTGACAGAAGTCAGTCAGGTTCACTGGTTAGTACCTGCCATCCCCGAGCTCCTCCTCAATGGCGAATTTACAAAGGTCTCTAGTGCAGGTCGTCCGCTTCCACAAGCACGGGACTCTTTCTGCAAACTGGTTGCCTTCTCTCCAGATCAGAGGGAAAATACCTACTCGCTAATCTCTGCTCTTACATTCTGGCTGGCTGCCTTAGACCGGGACTGTGGTGACCATGCAGTTTCGTCTTCTCTTCCCTCTTTGCAGCGCTGAGCGAGGTCGACCTCAGTCAGCACAGGGCTCAATGCTCCATAGTAAGCGAGAAGAAGGGAGATGCCCAAATGTGCCAACCGCTTAACAAGGTTCCACTTCTCCCTGTCAAACAGCCCATCTACCCTGGTCAGAAGTGTGGCTCGCAGTGCCCACTTCAGGACCCGCATCTGCCTCCCTCTCACATAGCTCTTAGTACAAAGTTACGGGTTATCTTCCAGAAGCCCTCTGCTTTTGTTTGCTGATGTGTGAGTTACCGTTCCTCTGGAGCAGTGACCCAGGCTCTAGAACCCCAATGGTAGGAAACACATGGAGAAGACAGAGGCCTCTCATCTCATCCCTGTGTGATTCCTCCCCGTAACTGCCCTAAACCATCAACGCCCAGGGTGTGAGGGAACCCAAATGTTCTGTTATGCTCTCTATTCCCATCAGAGGCCACCTGTAGTCTTTACAGCTTCTGATAAGGCTTTGCGACAAACGAGTGAGGAGTCCAGAATAAAGGGAAAACTAATCTTTACCGTTCTTCTCCTTCTTGTTTTCTTCCTCCCACTTTTCCCTGAACAACTGATCAGACTCCATAATGCACCCACCCTGTGACGGGGCAGATCTCTAATGCGCGTGTTCTGCCTTTCCAGGAAGCTGCTCTGGGACCCATTGCTACCTCCCCAGACCACACCAGAGAGCTGAGCACAAGATGAACCAGCACTCACTTGGCTCAAGATGCACCAGGCTATTCCACTGAGCTCTGAGAGCCCCAAGATGTCTGCGTGCAGTGACTTTGTGGAGCACATCTGGAAGCCTGGGTCCTGCAAAAACTGCTTCTGCCTGCGGAGCGACCACCAACTGGTGGCTGGCCATCCCCCGCCCAGAGCAGGCAGCCAGCCCCCTCCACCTCGCCTGCCTCCCAGGCCCGAGAATTGCCGCCTGGAAGATGAAGGTGTGAACAACTCACCCTACTGCAAACCCACAATCGCAGTAAAGCCCACCATGATGAGCTCCGAAGCCTCCGATGTGTGGACAGAGGCCGGCATTGGTGCTGAGGTCTCACAGGTGAGTCTGACTAAGCCCTGTAGTATTTTTATAGGGGCTGTTCCTGTTCCCACACTTGATCCTGGCTGGCAGCCAGGGAGGGCTGTCAGAGCAAGAATCCTGCAGCATGGCTTCTCATCAGCTTGCCCCAGGATTGCTCTTTCCCACTTGCTATCTCACTGTAGCCGCCCTGCTGTCTGTCCCTTTAGGCTAAGAGCCATTAATCCAGTCCCTCAAAATTTCCTCTCTAACTTGGAGACGGTTTAACAGCAGACAAGGTGAAGAATTATTTTTAAAAAGATTTTTTAAAAAATAATTCAATCAATAATTTAACATATATACCCAAGTAGAAATAATTGCATAACGAATGTCACATACCTAATACATTTCAACAACCATCAGTTTTTTTTCAACCTGCCCCATAATTTTCAAGCACATCCCAGGCATCACAATAATTTTAGTACATATCTTTTAAAAGAGGCAGTCTTCAGAAGAACACACATTATTACCACACATAAACATATTAATCTCTTAATATCATCCATTGCGCAGTGTTCATATTTCTAAGCTCAAAGCTCGATTTTACCAGCTTTGATCTATTGTGGATCGAAAGTTAGGTTCCTAGAAGCTAGTCCATTCTGCTCATACCACAGGTAACTATTATTTTTTTTCTTGAGCGGTTTTTGGCTTAGAGTGCATGTGCTCGTGAGAGAGAGAGAGACACAGTGAGAGGTAAGGTGAGAAATTACCCGCTGGGGGAGATGGCAACCCCACAATCCCTTTTCCTCTTCTCCTCCTGGGATCTTGGGCACACATGCACACGTGCCCAGTGGTTGCCCATGTGGGAGTCTCGTGAGGTAACTTTAAAAATGTGCAGTTATTCTGGGCCAGCTGGTAGCACAGAGTCAGGCTGGCTGGATCCCACGTGGCTGACTCTGAGATTCCAGTCCTGAACCCAAGGGCTCGTGTTCAACAACTTGCCTAACGTGGGTATACATGCATGCTCACAGGCTCCTAAAATCCCAAAAGGAGAAATGGAGAAGGGCTTTCAGCATGACCATGCTTCTACTTCCCCAGCTGGGGAGGGTTTGCTTTCTCATTTTCCCTCCCTCTCCCTGTCTCTCTCTCTGATGAACACACGCACCCTTTAGCAAATTAAACAAGTGTAATTACTCAGAAGGCACAGGGACCAGGCCTGTCTCAGACTTAGCCTAAGACCTGCTTGTTACCTGTTTGACCTCCTTGCTCATTCTAGTTCTCCTCCTGCAGTGTGGTGAGTGGATCAGGAAGGGTGTGTGAGCGGATGTGAACACAAAGGTCAGTTTTAGATCAGGGCGGCTTAATTGTGGAGAGGCATTTCCTGTGGTTGCAGTGGGCTCCCTGTCCCCTTCAGGGCTGCTCCACGTTCCCAAGCTGGATACACCCGTTCAGTAGGCTGTTTTCTACTTCCTTAGCTTTTACCCGTGTCAGCCCAGGAAGCTAAGCTTAGAGTCCTCTGAGAGAGGAGCTGGTGGCTCCCTGCTGTGAGGCCACTTCTGAAAGTGGGAGACGGGATCTGTAGGGGAAGGAGAGGAAGTGTCCCTGGGGTGGTAATGGCCAGTCTACCTCTCTTTGTCACAGCCCGGTCAGTCCTGTTACTTACATCAGACGCCAGCTGGGGTCACCACTGTCGGGATGAAGAGCAGATCTTGATGGCTGAAACCAGTCCCAAAAGGAGCCAGGAAGTCCAGATTCAGCTCAGAAACCATGCCCCCCTCCTGCCGTCCCCTCTGCCCACCCACGCTGTTTGAAAATCAGTGTAACTTTGACTTCTTCAGGGTTGTGTCGTGACAGCATTATTAAAAAACCAACCAACACAAAGCGAAAGTTAAACAAAACCCAAAACTCTGTTTTCTGAGCCTATAGCAAGGTTATTTCACTGGTAGTTGTGAGGAAGAATTCCCACTGAAATGGTTTTTTTTTTTTTTTTCAGTTTTGTGTTTTTCCCTACCTGCACACTTAGCCCGGAGGCCAGGTGGCCCCTATGCATCCCCCCTTCCCTGCCCTTCTTTCTCCCTGATGAAGACTAACCTAAGACTTTTTTGGGGCCATGCAGGTCATCTGGAGACGTGTCCCCAGCAAGCTCTCTCTCCCACTGGCCAAGCAAGATGACACACCGATGGTTTTCCTGGGTGGCGTCCGGGGCAGCCCTGTGGACGGCCATGCCCGCAGCCCACCTGGCTATGCCATGGTTGGCCTGCCCAGCCCTGAGCCCCGTGCAGAGCGGAGCCTGGCCTTCCACCCGATGGGTTTCACAAGCGAAAAGGCCAGGCAAGAAGAGAAAGCTTCATTCCCCTACCAGGAGCTGCCCCCGACGCAGGAGAGCTTCCGCCAGAAGCTGGCCACATTCTCCGGGATGACCTCCGGCTGTCACAAGAGCCCAGGGCCCTGCCCCACTGCACAGCCCCAGCTAGAGCCTGAGTCCTTAGGGGACGGAGAGGAGCCGAGGTGCTCGCCCTCAGGGGACAGTGAAGGTGGGGAGTACTGCTCAATCCTGGACTGCTGCCCCCCAGGCCCAGCTGCCAAGGACACCCCCCAGGCTGAGGGCACCCAGGACTGCTTGCCGGCCTGCTGGGAGCAGGGAGCTCGGGAGCCAGGCGTGTGTGTCCAGCCCATCCGGCCCACCGAGGATGAGCGGGGCCCGGCCTTCCCCAGGGAGTGCCGCAGCCAGAGCTCTGTAGCCAGCCCGGCCTGCCTGGACTCCAAGAAGCCACCGCTTCCCTCAGAGACTGCCGGCTCTTCTGATAGTCTTTCTTGTGGCGGTGGCGGCAGCCGGTCCCACAGCCCCTGTGTCCCCCACCTTGAGAATGATTACTGCTCTCTCGTGAAGGAACCCGTCCGGGGGAAACCGCAGGACCCTGGCTGCCAGCCTGTGGCCTCCAGCAAATGCCTCAGGCTGCCTGGAGAGCCACAGCCCACCACCACCCCCAGAGAGGCTGCCCCGCTGGAACCCATCTATGCTGAGAGCACCAAGAGGAAGAAGAGCAGTCCAGCGCCGTCCAAGCCGCAGGCCAAGGTAGAGCAGGCGGCAGCTGCCCAGGGCCAGGACCAGGCCCGCACGGGCAGCACCCGTGCTCAGAGAACCACAGCGGGCTGGGGCCGGGACAGGGAATGCCCAGACCTGGCTCCCCAGGCGTCAGCCACCATCACCGTCATGGCAGCACACCCAGAAGAGGACCATCGGACCATCTACCTGAGCAGCCCGGACTCAGCCGTGGGGGTACAGTGGCCACGTGGGCCTGTGAGCCAAGACCCGGGGGTGGTGGGAGAGACGTCAGCCACGCAGGGGCTGAGCCCTGGGGAGAGCCGCCCGCACGATGCAGACGAGAACACGCCCAAGGGGAAGCCGGCCATTCCCCCCAAGCTGTCCAAGAGCAGCCCGGCAGGGTCCCCCGTGTTGCCCTCTGTCTCCCCGCTGGCTGACCTCAGCGAGGGGAGCTGTGGTGGCACCAGCCTTGGGCCCCAGCCTTCACCCAGAGCCCCTAACAACCCCACGGCCTCCTGCCAGACCAATGGCGTCACTGCCACGGACCCCGTCAGGTGCCCCCTACCTGCCACCTTGGCGATGGACCAGAGGTGGCCCAGATACCAGACCGGCACCTGGAGTCGTCAGTGCCGGATAGAGGAGGAGAGAGAGGTGGAACAGGAACTGCTGAGTCGAAGCTGGGGAAGAGAGACAGAAAACGGGACCACGGAGCCCTCTAACTCCTCCACCTGGCACCGTCTTCGCCCCGGAGACAGCTCCTCTGGGCAGAGCAGCAAAGCCGGCACCGGGATGAGCAAATCGGCCTCTTTTGCCTTCGAGTTCCCCAAAGACAGAGGTGGGACTGAGGCGTTCTCCCCTCCACCGCCGCCCCCAAAGTCCAGGTGAGTACCACTGTCCGTGACTGCCTGTGGCCCAGGCCCGACAGCCCTCTCGCTGCTTCTCCGCAGGCTCTCGGGCCCACACTCTGTCCCGCCCTCCGGGTTCCGGCGTCTGCCTGATGCCCCCGTGCCTTTACACGAGTGCGCGAGAGTCCTGGTGTGGCCCGTGTGTGCTCAGTGCCCTGCTTGCAGTTGGCTGTTTGGAACAAATCTTTCAAAGCAACACACCTCCCAGCTGTCACTCACGTTTTATAATCTGTACTCTTCCGCCCCCCGCCCCCCATGCTTTCAGCAGGTTTTTTCAAGAGATTTATCCTGAAAAGTTTCATCTATTTAAACGTGCAGAAGAGTGCTGCAGGAGATTGTGCCACAGGATTTGGGAGGCAGAGAGGGAGGCAGCCGTCAGCTCTGGATGTGTGCTCAGAGCACGGTGGTGACTAGGCTTTGGGACCGAAGGCGGAAAGACGAGGCTCTGCCTGAGGTCGGTCGCCCTCGGATGTGCACTTTTTCAGGGAAGAACATGTAGCTTTGTGTTAGCAGACTGGCACACCCCGTTTTCTCACTGCCGCACCGCTCTCTCCTGCCAGTTTAAAGTCCCTTTCAAAGGTTCAGGAGAAATAAATGTCTTTTAAAGCTATTGAGCTTGTCTATAAATTCTGGGGGAAAAAAGTTCATTTAGAGCAAAAGTGATTTCTATTAAGGAAAAGAGAAACCTGCAGATTTTCAAAAAATGACAGCTTTTCCAAACAGACTTTCTCTAGTCCTGTCATTTCTGTTGGTTTGCCTCACGTCAGCAGCAGAGTACTGACCGCAGAGGACAGCTGTGACCCTTGACTCTGAGCAGGGAGCGTCTCCGGCTCGCTCGCACGGCCACGTCCTCGTATCGCCCTGGCTGTGCTCATGCCCTGGAGGATGGCCGTCCTCCCGGCTCTGAGGTAGCCGCTGACTCTTCGACCAGATTGACCTTCCTGAATGAGTAGGGGTGCAGCAACGGAGAGGAGCGCCCACTTACGTGGCTCTTACGTGGCTTCGAAGGTGTCAGACATATGAACTCACTGACTCCCCATGAATGAGTAGGACCAGTGTGCAGAGGACAGAACGGAGATCTGAAGTGACCTGCCTGAAGTTCTAGCCTTACCTGGCAGGCGCGCTCCGATGTCTGCGCTCCTGGGCCTTCAGGGTACCAGCGAGCACAGGAATTACATGGGGCGTGATCTGAGACATTAGCATCAGATCTTGCTGCCTTGCTCCTGGGTAGGGTAGTCAGAAACGTGGGCTTTGGCCTTAGAAAAGCAAGCTCAGGGCCAGCCATGATGGCGTGCACTGCTGAGATGCTGTGCATGCCGGCTGAGACCATGTCAGAGCCCAGCTCTAATTCCTGGTCTCACCTGCAGGCTGGGACCATGTCAGAGGCCCAGCTCTAATTCCTGGTCTCACCTGCAGGCTGGGACCATGTCAGAGCCCAGCTCTAATTCCTAGGCGCACCTGCAGGCTAGGACCATGTCAGAGGCCCAGCTCTAATTCCTGGTCTCACCTGCAGGCTGGGACCATGTCAGAGCCCAGCTCTAATTCCTGGTCTCACCTGCAGGCTGGGACCATGTCAGAGCCCAGCTCTAATTCCTGGTCTCACCTGCAGGCTGCATGCACTGGCACACACCTGTGAGCCCAGTGAGTTGCAGAGCTGAGGGGAAAGGATAGCAAGCTCAAGGCTGGTCTGGGCCACATAGTGAGACCGGGTCTGAAGAAGCGGAGGGGCTGAATGGTGGCAGCAATGAAGTGCATCGCTCTTCAATGCTGGCCCGTGTGGGAAAGTTCTGGGAATGCACCCAGAGACCTCCCTGAGCATCGAAGCATACTCCAGGCACGTGTGTCCCGGTGATGCAAGGCTGTCGAAGTCTGGGAGTGGATCATGGTGTCACGACTCTGTTGGAGGTGCTGTCTTTCTTTCTGTCTCTTTCATTGTCTCTCTCTCTGTTTTTATGTCTCTCCATCTCGTTCATGGAAGAAATAAGTAAATATTAAAAAAAAAAAAAAAGAGCGAGCTCATTGTTGTGGCATGTACCTGCAATTCCACTGAGAGGCTGAGGCAGGAGCATCGCTATAGCGAGACCCTGTCTCGAGGAAAAAAAATATATCCCATCTGTCTCACTTACAGAGTGAGTGAGCTAGAACAAGCCTCCCACTGTGACTGAGTCTCCAGGATACGCTTCTCTGAAATGGGATGAAAATATTTTCGTAACACTCTAATGGAATGACTCAAAGAGATGGACGACAGAACCCAAGGCATAGCTTAGCTATTATGTGGGCAGAAGCCCTCTGGGCTGCTGATCATGGTGGCGACACACGCACCATACAGGAGGCAGCCTGGTCCTATCCAAGAACACTACCTGAGCCGTAGAGAATCATAGGGCTTGGAGAAAGCCTGGTAACCATAGCAACGTGACTCAGAGTTTTGTTTTTGTTGTTTTTATTTTTATTTTTTTAAGGTTTTTGCCACAGGGTATGTGTGCTTACTGGAGAAACAGTGAGATGAAAAGTGAGAAGTCACTCTTAAGGGGATGGCCACACTGCAATCCCTTCTCCATTCTTCTGGGCTGTGGGCCACATGGGAGGCCAGCCCCATAATCGCCACACTACCTGTTGGCCTGGGGTGTTTTTTAGTATCTGGGCTTAGATCAGCCTTTTTGGCCCAGTTTATTATAATAAAATCCCTTGGATTATATGCAGCCTGACCGAGGTGGGAATCTCCAAGGTTTGGGGTTCTAGCCCTTAACAAACACAACAAAGAGACAAAAAAAAGTTCTTATTTCACAACTTTTGAGAGATAGACTTAGGAAATAAAATTAGCTTAAGAACACAAAAAAGAGAGAACATTTATTTAAAATCAAACTAGTATACATTTTTATTTGGCAATGATTTCCATTTTTCAAGCACTGCTGATGTTATCTTTTGAACCTTCACTTCTCTCCCTTGAGGAGATAAGAGGGCAGGCTTGGGACCGTAAGATGACTTTCAATTCTGGGGCTCAGTCCTTACAGAATTCCTCTGATGAGGGTGCTGGGAACCTCAGGGTCTCCAGATCCAGAAGGTTGAGAAGTTGGCCAATCAGAGTGGTAGTGATAGTGAGAATGCTACCACAGTTGACAAGTATTGATGCAGTAGAGACCCCCCCCCCACACCCTGTACCCAGGGAAGCTACGTCGTTGGACCTCCAGTGGTACCTGGAGCGGTGTTAGCACCGAGTCCCGTGTCGGATGTTTTTCCTACACGCATACGATGATAAAGCGTGGCACAGCAAGACAGTGACGCCTAATAATAAAACACGACAGCTATAACGAAGTACTGCTGTGAAGGTTACACAAAGCGGTCTTTTTCTCTCTCTGAAACCTTAGTAGAGTATTTTATTATTACTTGTCCATCTTTAGACCGAAGATGAACTAGTGACTTTCGGTGACTGTGTGTCACTGAAACTGGAAAGCAGAACCGTGGATGGGGGGCATGCTGTACCTGTAGATGCTGGTGTTTCTGGCAGGTCAATGTCACGTTTCCAAAATGGAAAAATGTAGGTCATAAACTAAAAGGTGAAATTAATTTCTTCTCTTGGGCCTGTTAAATGGGTCCTATTTTCAATGATCAGCTTCATTATTTGTTACATGCACTTTTAAAAAGTAAAAAAAAAAAAGCCCAGCTGGTAACGGGTATAAGGTGGCTGGATCCCACATGGCTGACTTTGTGGTTTGGTCCCAGGGCAGTGACTTGAAATCCAACATGGCGGTGAGTGTACATGCCCAAAATCTGGAGAGGAAAATGGAGGAGGAGGGATTTAGTCATGGTCATCCCCCTGATGGGGTGCCTCCTCATTTTCCCTTTCTGGCAAATGCATGTGCCCTATAGCAGATTTTAAAAAACTAAAAACTTGGGGCCAACAGGTGGCATGGTGGTTTAGTGCACTGGACTCCCACATGGCCAACTGCAGTTCGAGTCCCGGACCTGGCGGCTTGCTTTCTCACTTTCTCTCTCTCTCTTGCTCTTTCTCTCTCTCCCTCTTTCTATCTGGTCAAAGTAAAATAAAATAAATAAAGTTAAATAAAATAATTCTTTAAGGAAAAAAAAACACTCTGAAGAAAGGGCCAGCTTCAAGCAGGGCATGTTATTCTCTACTTACACAGTGTAGAGAGGCTGACAGACACATCAGCGTTCTCAGGCCACTGTGGAAACGTAGAAGGATTTTCTTGTTTGTCTATCATTCTGTTTTATGAAACCGACCTGGAAGGGGACAAAGAGATGTTAAGAGTGCCTCAGCTTTCCTCTGGTACCGCTTCAAACGTTTGGCGGCAGCTTACCTGTGTCTGAGCCATCACCTTCTGCAAACCCACATCTGTGCTCCCGAGACCCTCTTGCCAAGAGGCCACACAGAACAAAGGTTCTCCATGCTCCTGGAGTTTCAGCACAGGCTCAGCCCCTTCCCTGGCCGAGGGCAGAATCTGGGTGTTTCCCTGCCTGCCGCTGTAGGCAACCTCCTACACCCACACCCACACCTACTGAGCAGATGGGCCCTACCTAGTCTCTGGGCCACCTCATCCCTCTAGGGCAGGGTCATAAGGCAGAGATCCGTAAGTACTCCTGACTGGGGAGAAAAGCTGCAGAAGAGTGTGGATTTCTCATTTAAAATGTCACCTTCCAAACGTAAGGCAGTTTAATGTGAGCTTCAGTGCCTGGGGACATGGGCAGCCTGTGAAAGAATCACATTGCTTCCCGCCTCTGATTTCTTCATAGCCGCCAACCTGGTCTTAAAGGACTTATGGCCGAGCGGCAAGGTCAGGTAGAGGCGAGTAATGAGTTGAGTGCAGGAAGCCCACATGGCCCGGTAGACCTGCGCTCAGGTGGAATGAGGCCGATGGGTGGATGAGAAACAAGACATATGCTATGTACTATCCATGTCCAAGTGGTCTGGTCTCAGGTGAGACTTTTCAAAAGAAAAGTTACCCCCCAGAAAGTGAGAG